GGGCTATACAACTCACAGATCTGAGAGAAGAGTTCTCTACAAAATCAGACGGGACTGGGGTGTCCTGCTCAGATCTTGATAAACCATAAAATGCCATCTCATTTCCCTCCTCTTACTATCCACTTCCTCCTTTTTATTCCCATTAACATGTACTAAGTTTCCAATCAGAAGGAGTTGGAATGTGAGTCAAAGCAAATCTGAAGAAGAGGTATCAAAACAGACCCAGCACACAGTACAGTACTGTTAAGAGCAACAGCATTATTATACTGAAACCCTGCAGGTCAAACTTGAGAGAATTCAGAGTATGCTTGAAAGCCAAAGAAGAGCAAGGTTTTTCTAACAACAACCAAGGTCACATGTAGATGTATTTTCAATCTCTGGTATTTACTACTGAATTAAAAATGCATATAGCATCCTTTCCAACACACATCATTTTCTAGTAACTTCCTACCTATTTCAACTTATAGCTTAGGGAGTTATTTGACTTTAATAGATTAGTCACTTACACAGCTCAGGAATCTTTCTGTACATAATGAACACAGAGAGGTAGATAAAAAACACACACTAAGCTTTGTTTCCTCTGACAGTCTGGTCACTGGATTTTATAGAATACCATGGGGATTTCTATATCCTCTGACCATGACCTTACATGATGTCCTAAAAGCAGGCCATTGCCTACAAAAGGATAAGGAAGAAAAGCCTCATGTTAGATGGAACAGTATTCTAAGGACAGAAGACAGACCACCTAAAGAAAAGAGTTAATTCTTCTGATAATAGGAAAAAATGAAGAATCTATAGAACTACCATATGACACAGCAATCCCAATCCTAGGTATATACCCAAAATAACTGAAAGCAGAAATGCAAACAGAAACATTACACCAATGCTCACCGCAGCACTACTCACAATAGCCAAAAGGTAATCTAAAATGTCTACCAACAGGAGAATGGATAAACAAAATGTGGAAAATAGATACAATGGAATATTACTCAACCACAAAGAGAAATGAAGTCCTGATACATGTTATAACATGGAACACCTTGAAAACATGCTGAGTGAGATAATCACAAAATGATACATACTGTATTCACTTATATGAAACAGGCAAATATATAGAGACCAAAGCTCATCAGTGGTTACCAGGGATAGAAAGAGGGGGAAAGGAAGAGCCACTGCCTAGAGGCAATGTTAATGGTAGTAGAATTATTTGGAAAAGGATAGTGGTGATGGTTGCACAACATGATGAACATTATCAATGTCACCGGATTGTTCAGGGAAAGATTGTTGAACCGCCAAATGTTTTGTTAGACATATTTTTACCACACACATGTGCAAAATGAAGAACCCTATCAATCATACCGGGAGCTCTGGTAGCATAGTGGCTAAAGCACTTGACTGCTAACCAGAAGGCTGGTGATTCAAACCCACCAGCCACTTCTCAGAAGGAAGATGGGGCAATCTACTTCCGCAGTGATACTGCCTCAGAAACCCAAGAAGGGGGGTTGCTATGAGTCCAGTCGGACTTGATGGCACATAACAACAACAACATCAATCATATCTCAGAAGTAGCTAGGGAAATGAATTAGGGAAATCATCTTGGGATAATTTTGGTCAATTAGCACTGATAAAAAGGAGTTCTGGTGCTGCAGTGCCTAAGGCATTTGACTGCTAACCAGAAGGCTGACAGTTCAAACCCACCAGCTGCTCTGCCAGAGCAAGATGGGGTAATCTATTTCTGTAAATATTTACCATCTCAGAAATCCAGTGGGGGTTGGAATCAACTCGATGGCATTGGGCCTGGTTTTGGTTTGGGGTTTAGTACTCAGAAAAAAGTAAATAATTATTTACTGCTGAGGGCCCTTCCCAGAGATGATCTATGATCTATGATCTCTTTTTCCCTGCTTAGTTGGTCACCTGGCAGTTCTGTTCAAAGTAGAAGCCAGGGCAGTCAAAGCCCCACAGAGCCCACAGAGCCCCAGCTCTCTGTTCAGGGCCCTTCCTTAGGTCTCTCAGAACACTCTGCTGGAAACACATGCTTTCTTTTTGGCTAGGGAGCAGTTGAGTTGCTGGAGGGATACCTTGTCTTAAATATAAAAACTCTGAGAAAGGATATCCACATATCCATGTTCCAAACAATTTTACAAAAGAGGTAACATCCAAATGATAGGGCCTAATTATTTTTAGTATAATCACATTTCCAATCATGTAAGGAGTTTTTTTCTTCCTTAATTGCTTTTCTTTTTCTTTATGGATAGGATGATGGAGAGGAATTAGTTATATTTTGATTCCTTCTTTAATTGGTTCCAGGCCTGTAATATTCACCACTGGGATAGAAAACCCAGAAAGGTTGACAGGACAACCTCTAGCAATGCTTGAAAAGCAGGTAAATCATGAGTTAGCAAATGGGAACAGAAAGCAAATTCAATTTATTAAAATGGTCACATTTCTAAGCAGTACTGGGATGTTATATAAATTAATGAATTAGTACTAGGCAACTGGTAACAGTAAATTAACAGATAAACAGAGTAATACTTCATTTTTAAAGAAGGTAATTTTTTCAAGCTCTGCTTCCACAATACTCTTGAACTACCAGTACAAAATAGCACTTTCACAAACTCACATTAAAGGCCAATAACTACCATAACACAAGACTTATTTTCCATTTGTTATTTTGCAGAGATTCAAACCAGTGAATAAAAAATTAATTTTCTCCCATGTAAAGGGAATTTGTTACTATTATCTTCAGAATCACCACAATCAAAAGCCTACCTGAAAACAGTAGGTACAAAAGAGAACTTTAAGGTCTCCAACAATGATGAATCTGCAAAACTTAACATGGATGACCTTAGAGGCCATTATGCTGAGTAAAATCAGTCAATCACAAAAGTACAAACATTGTATGAGATTCTATTGTAAAAAGTCAAGAAAAGGTTTTCACAAAGAAATATTCTTTGATGTTTACCAGGGGTGGGGGGGTAAGGGAGGATAAACCACTAACTAGAGGGTAGGTATATATTAACTTGGGTGAAGAAAAGGGTGAATACTGTTTATACGAAAAGCTAGCAGCAATATAAAATATGGTTAACTTAGTTTAATAATAAGCTACATCTCTGAAACGTTTTAGAAAGAATTCACACACTCACACATACACACACGCAAATTAGCCAGTTGAAAAAAAAAATCATCTACACGAGATCAAATGATCAATAATTACTCTAAAGCAAAAATGAAAGGGTAACAGAGCAGACCAGATTATTGGAAGTAAAATATCCAGAATGGAATTAATGAGAATATAGACATTGCGAAAATGTAACCAAGGTCTCTGAACAATCTGTGTAGATTACTACACAAATTGTTAATTTAATTTAAATGGGAGCCTAATTTGCTGTGTAAACTTTCTCTGGAAACACTATTTAAAAAAAAAAAAGAGAGAGAGAGAGAGAGAATTTAAGGCCTCAAAAGACTGTGCAAATGTAGTTGTAATTGGCATTTAAACAACAACAACATTGAAAGCTTGGTCCCCATTCTCTTTCTGATGTTTGGACTTTATTCTCTCCCTCAAGACAACGGTTTTCAAAGTACCTAGAGAACTAAATGAGAATACAGAGGTCCACGCTCATTTCTATAGGAAAGGCCTGGGCCTCTGTATCTTTATCAAGTTCCCCAGCAATGGTTTCCAAGCCAGGCTGACCAAAATCACTTGAGGAGCTTTGGAAAAAACAAAATTTCTTGGGCTTTACCCCTAGAAATTCTGATTCTGTAGATTTGCAGTTGAGACACAGAAACCTTAAATATCTTATTAAAATTTTACTTACTTATTTTTATAAACTTCCATGGTGGTTCTGATCAGCTAGATTTGGGAATCACTGACTTTGAACACTTAACGAAGGCCTATCAAAAAACCTCAGGCCTCTGGGTTCACTAAGAATATTCATAACTTTAGGCAGGTTATAAATCGCCATCCTACAGAAAACGTAACAAATTAAATTGTCTGGAAATGATTTGGTACTAAAAACTCTGCCCAATTTAGCACTGAAATTACCTAATCATTTTCTATCTATCCATTCTTCACCCCTACGGTAGGCCTGTACGTAGTATTTGTTTCCTATGGCTGTTAAGTGATAGCTGTCCAAAGTGCCCATAAGCAAAGATTCAGTTCTGTTAACTTCTCCCTCTTCCATTCTGATTCTGAGAACTGCCAGGAACAAACCTATTTCAGAGCACCTGAGCCAAGTGATGTCACTTGCAGCATTACGTATCAAGTACATGAACCCAGAAACCTGCACACCCTGCTCCACACCACTGGCAGGGACTGATTTCTTTGTGGAAAGAAATTCTCTCATCACTCAAGATAAGTAGTTCAAAAACTTGACTATTTTTGAAGCCAAGCCAAGAGGAAGCCAATTACGACTTCAAAAGCTTAAAAAATACAGTGACTTTTGGGCGACTTCCAGTAGTCCCAAACCCACAGATGTCTAACCCCCTATGTCTGCATCCCAGAATCAGATGTTTAAATTCAAAATCTAAGACAGAAAGTATATGAAAGCAATGAACTAGAGTTTGAGAAATGATAAGTGATCTCTTCCCCCTGCCTCCTCAACCTGAAGTCATGATATCATCATCCATCAAGTGGAAAAATCAGGTTAAAAGCAACTGAGAATTATGATCTTTAATACACAGATGCTGATTTCTAATCTTTCCCCAAAATTCCAGATAATCTATTAGGGATGAAATGATCCTTCTTAACCAGAAGGCACCAACTCGGCCATCTGAACCAGCAGCCGAGCTGAGAAAACTTCTAGGCAATGCAGAAATGCACATGGGTTACAGGTTATATTTTTTAAAATGATGACAGACCTCCTTACTGGACAGCTGGCAATAAGCTGACTGATGGTTTTGAGGCACATTCAAATGTACATAATAAAACTGCTGGGTGGGTATCCAAAGGAAAGAGTTGGAAAGACTTCCTCAAACTATGATGAAAAACAAATCCAACACTGCTAGCAGCAGCCCCAGCTGGAGGAGGACTTAGTTTGTAGATTGATATAGTCTCCTTTAGTGGACAAAGATACAGCATCTTCTCTGGAATTGCTCATCATCTTTTCAACGAGGACTCTAAAAAACAAAAAATTTAAAAATTGCAGACAATTTCTGTTTTATCAACAGACAACATTCAGAAAAGTCACCAGGTTCAAATGCATCTCTGTCCCCAGCTATCTCAGGGGAGAAGATGCATCTCTGACCTTCAGAAACTGGCGTTCCAATGACTTGATCTGTTCTTGTTCATGCAGAAACAAGAAAAGAGGGTCCCTGGGGCCACAGTGGAAGTTGGGGAAATCTACATGCCTATTCCTGGAACAGCATGAACTACTCACCTCATGGCCTCATTAATATTTTTGTTCTCCTTGACTGATGTTTCTGTCCAACCCGTGAAACCGTTCTCTTTACTGAACCGGTCAATCTGGTCCCGGTTCACTGCCCAAGGGGACAGATCACACTGACAAAGTGAATAAAAAAACATCATCATAAACTTCCTGGGAGTAGGAATACTGCTCAAATACTTGAGAATTTAAAATATTCCACCACTAAGGGCTAAGAACACTACCATCTAAAATCTACAGTTAACATTCTTCCCAAAGAAAGTTTCACTCTCACCATCCCTTGAAAGGGGAATAGATGATTCTGCCAACTGGAGAAGGGGAAAAAGATGCCTATAACCAGAAAGCCTTTTAGACCATATTCTGTAAACCACAGATATTCTCTGACCATCAGCTGAGGACAGGGCCCATTTTCCCAGACTGAGCCCATACCTTGTTGGCCAAGAGCAGGCAAGGCACAGGCTCTCCATTTGGCAATGTGAGCTTGCTGTCCAGGTCCTGTTTCCATCTCTGGCTGTTGCTAAATGTAGTGGCATTGGTAACATCAAACATAATAACACAAGCAGAGGCATCCCGATAGTATAGTCGGGTCATAGAGGTGAAGCGCTCCTGTCCTGGGGGGAAAGGAACGGGTACTCAAGGAGGTGATTAGAAACAAGCTCAGTCCCCTCTTCTGACCCTCTGCCTCTCTCTCTTTTTTTTAAATGCATTTTATTGAAATATAATTTATGTACAGTAAAATACACAAAACTAAAGTGATCTGGGTCAATGCTTTTTTTTTTCAGTGTTCCCTCCCCTCCCCTCCCACCCCTGGCTATCAACAAAAAAATTTTCCCTCCCTATATAAACCTTTCCTTGAGCCTCCACAACAACAAACTAATACTATATTTGTCCCTCTGTGATTGACTTATGTAACTCAGCACAGTATCCTCCAAGTTCATCCACATTATGCAGTGATTGCAGACTCTACATTATTCTTTAGTGCTGCATAGCATTCCATTATGTGTATGCACTATAAATCTTAGAGATAAGTCCCTCGCCAGATATGTAATTATTGGCAAATATGAATTTGTTGCTGTCATTTTTGTTATGTGCTTTTTTGTGGTGTTGATTTCTTTGTCCAATATAATTTTCTATGCTGAGCTTGTTTTGTTTATGAATCATGTTATCACTTCCTTCATTGCTACTGTTTTAGTATTTGCTGAATATTTATGCTGGTCCTCTTTTTTGATGTGAAGGTTATCATTTTTCTTTGAGGTTACCCTGTGATTTCTTTCCAAGTTTAGAACAGTCCGTTCTATTTTGTAGCTGTCTTGACTTCCCTACCATCTAGAAGTTCTGTAACGACAGGTTTTTTTTCCCTCTTTTTGGTCTGTAGTTGTCCTCATTTGTCAATTGATGTCTCTGGTTCCCTGTTTACAATCTTGTAGGCTTATTTACTTTGCATACTTCCGTAGCTGGGTTGGTTTTTGGGTTATATCATCATGTGTGTTAATGGTCAGATGTTGTTGGCTGTTGTTTCTCTGTCCAGAGGCACAATGTACAATTATGTACATTTATGTACAATTATGTACAATTTTGCTGGGTACATAATTCTTGGGACCTCTGGTAGCGTAGTGCCTAAGGCACTTGACTGCTAATCAGAAAGCTGGCAGTTCAAATCCACCAGCCACTCCTCGGAAGGAAGATGGGACAATCTACTTCTGTAGTGATACTGCCTTGGAAACCCAAGGAGGGGTCGCTATGAGTCGAGTCCGACTCGACAGCACATAACAACAACAACAACTTAATTCTTGGTTGGAAATTTTCCTCTTTCAGGGTTTTATATATACTATCCCATTGTCTTCTCACCTGCATGGTTTCTGCTGAGAAATCCGAGCTTAGTCTTATTGGTTGCCCCTTGTAGGTAACTTTTCATTTCTCTCGTGCTACTCTCATGATTCTTTCTTTGTCTTTGGTTTCAGTAAGTTTGATGATGATATGTCTGGGTGATTTATCTTTTGGGGTCTATCCTGTTTGGGGTTTGCTGGACTTCCTGAATGGATATATTCTCATCTTTCACCATACCAGGAAAATTTTCTTCCAACAAATCTTTGACAATTTTCTCCGTGGTTTTATTTGTCTCTTCCTGTTCTGGAATTCTGATTACAAGTAGATTATTCCTTTTGATGGTATCCCACACAAACCTTAGGCTTTCTTCATTTTGTTTGATCTTTTTTCTGATTTATCCCTTTCCAAAGAAGTGTTCAGGTATTTGCCTTCAATCTCACTGATTCTGTCTTCCATTGACTCAATTCTGTTCCTTTGCCCATTCAATGTCTTATCTATTTCTGAAAATTTAGTATTAATCGTCTGGATTTCTGTATGCAGATTTTGTATCATTTCTAATTTTTCATTTCTTTTGTCATTTTGTTCTTGTATTGTCTTTTGAAATCGTTCTAGGGTTTTCTCTGTGTTTTCCTTGATCTGTCTCTCAATTCATTGAAGATACCTAAATATAATTCTTTTGAATTCCTTATCAGGGAGTTCCAGTGCTGCGTCTTCCTCAGGGATGTGTTTTGGGTCTGTATCCTGGTCCCTTGTTTCTCCTGCTTTATCTTGCTTCTTTGTGTGGACTGTGATGCTTTGTTGACTCCGAGGCATTATGATGTTTTAGTGTTTATATTTAATTGGTGATTGTATGTTGGAGTAACTTGCCCGTGATTTTCGTTTTCTTTGTTTTGTTTGTATGCTATCTAAGCAAGCAGGGTACTGTGCTCCTCTAATTGCTGGTTGACAGCACTTACACACTCATCACCTGTCTCCTTTCCTGTCATCAGCCTCTCGTATGTCCCTGTTGACCTTGGCAAACAGAGCCTATTCTTAGGTCGCTGGAATCTGAATGAGAATGCTATCACTTTAAAATCCAAAATGGTTGCCACTTGTAAAGATTCAAAATGGCTACTTTCCTTGGTCACTTTAAATATCCAAAATGGTTGCCATTTGTAAACATTCAAAATGGCTGCACCCCTGGTCACTTTAAATATCCAAAATGGCTGCATCCTCCAGACAGCAGAAAGTCAACAGCTCAGGTTGTCCCCCTCCTTGCTATTTCCCTTCCTAGTCATAGGCCACCAGTGCAGTCGTCCCCACAGCCCTTGGTGACCAGGGTTGATCTTTAGGTCAATTCTCAGGTCCCAACACCACTTGGAAATATTCAGGCTGTTGGTCCCATCAGAGTAGCTGACAGTCCTCAGCTCTGTCCAACTCACTGTTTTTGTTCAGGTATTTCCACTAGTTGGTGCCTAATTCACTTCTGCATAGTTCCTTTCAAAGCTCAGGGTTCCAGGATTATCTTCTGTATCTCTGTCAATTGATTTTTCTTTACTTTGTTGAAGAGGGTCTGTGTCGCTTGAATGTTTATTCCTCCATCTTACTGGAAGTCTGCCTCTCTATCTTTATTGTGGAAGAAAATGCAGTATATGAGTGGTTAAGATTTTGCAGCCACTGGCTACCACTGCTGACCACTCTGAAATGGACCACAAATAAGAGGTCCTGGATAGAGTTGGAAAATGTGGAACAAAACTCAAAATCATTAAAAAGACCAGGCTTACTGGTCTGATGAAGACTGGTGTAATCCCCAAGACTATGGTCCTTAGATATCCTTCAAGCTAGAAAGTGAACTTAACCCTATGACTCAACTGGCAGCCAAATGACAGAGAGGCCTACAAGGTGAACAGTAATATCAGGGGGTATGCACTCATTAGAACAATCAAGTGTATGAGATCAAGAGGAGAGCATATGCCCTAGGATAGAGCTAGGAAGTTGGGAGGGGATGAGAAGGAAGGATGAAGGGAAGGGGTGGGCACAGGGAGGAAGTGGGAAAAATGCTGTCACAGTGTGGGGAATTGCAGTAAATGTCACAAAACAGAATGTGCATGGATTGTTGAACGGAAACCAGTATGCTCTCGAAACTTTCATCCAAATTACGAAAAAAAAAAAGATTCTGCACTCAGATTGCCCAATTCAAATCCCTGTTCTGCCACTAACTATCTATGTGATTTTGGGCAAGTTAAGCTCTCAATGCATCAGAATTCTCACCTGTAAAGTAGGGTTAAAAGCAGAAGCTTTTATCATAGGGTTGTTGTGAGGGTTAATGAGTCAGTGAATCTAAAGTGCTTAGAAGAGTGCTTGGCACATAATAAGAAAATATTATTAACTCTCTTTTCTGGGGATCTTAATTCTCACCAAGGTCAGCTGAAAACCTAGAAAACCCAAAAAAAGCACTCTCCTCCTTCTTTGGAAGCATCTACCTCTGGTCTGGACCTCAGTATCCCCTTCAGCCACACAGGCACTGGTCTGCATCCATTTTGGGCAAGACTTTCAGTCTCGTATCCTCAGAGCAACTCAACCATTCCAGCTTCAGGAAAACAAGTGCAAGTTTTTGCTGTCCCACTTTTCCTCTGACATTATGCTGGCTGAACTGAACTTTCTTCCCATGTTCCTATCCAGCCTGCCCAGCTCACCTGCAATATCCCATAGCTGGAGCCGCACCATCTCTGAGTCAGACCACTGGAGAACCTTCAGAGCAAAATCCACTGAAAATATAATGTATGTAGGACATTAATAAAATTTAAGCTTTAAAAATATTCACAGAAAATCCCAGACCAAATTTGGAGTTGCAACTATAGGGACACACAGCTCCCAACCCCATTTTATTTGTTTTAATTTTCAGATAATACTATGTTTTTGGTAAAGGTTTACACAGCAGTTTAGGTTCCCATTCAACAATTTATACACAACTTGTTCAGTGACATTGGTTATATTCTTCACAATGCCATAAACATTCTCACTATTTCTATTCTAGTTGCTCTATTGCCATTAATTTGGTTTTCCTTGTAGCACAGTGTCTAAGGCATCTGACTACTAACCAGAAGGTTGGTGGTTCAAACCCACCGCCACTCCATGGAAGACTGGGCAATCTACTTCCATAAAGATTTGCCACCTTAGAAATCCAATGGGGGTCTCTATGGGTCAGAATCAATTCGATGGCAGTAAG